GGGGGGGGCACTATTGGAAGACACTCCCACCCAGCTGCCTCTCTTCCCTCCCCCACAGGCCTCCAGTCTCTCTCTGGCGCTCTGGAGAAAATACTGGCTTTAGATCCTGAAGCCTAACTCCCCATCTAGTGACCTTGGGCGAGTCCTCTGCCCTCGCCAGGCTTCTGGCATATGGTAGCGCCTGTTACCAGGGCTGGCTGGTGCTGACTGCAAGGCTAGTGGACACAGTAGGACTTGTAAGAGTCCTCCTCTCCAGTCCTAGGGTCAGGTAACTGCATGAGGCAGTGTGCAGGGGTCCTGGAATGTTAATCTTCACAATTTCTCTTCCAATCACTCCTGTGGCACCAGAATGTTTTTGAAGTGGATGCAGCAGTCTAAAGCGGCAGACTCCTGGGCATTCTCAGATGGCATGCATACCACCTGAGCCTTCCCCACAGCCATGGTAGAGGCTCTTCTGGTCTCTGTCCCTGGGATTTCAGCCTCAGGACTTAACTAAGGTCACACAGCTAGAATGTTTTTCCTTTGTGTCCCACTTCAGCAGGACCCAATCAACAGAGACCTTTCTCTGCTTGTCAGCTGGAGAACAATCTTCTACAGCCCAACCCCCAGGGGGTTCTATGCTAAGGTTGAAAGCCTGATGTACAGTTCAGGCTTCCAGGGTTCAGGCTAAAGAAGCAAGGTGGCTTGCCCAAGGTCACACAGCAGCCTGAGATACTTGGTCTCTGGACATTATCAGAAAATGCAGGCATAATAATGCCGTATGCCTGGTGTTGGTCTGAGCGCCATACATGCATTATTTTATCCATTTCTATTAGGAACTCCCTTGTGGACTGATCCTGAGTCACACAGTGGGGAGACATCTGTGGATCTGAAGAGAACGAACAGGGAGTGATGCTCGAGTAAGAGGTAGAGGCAACAGACAGCATCACATACAGAAACATCTTCCATGCATCCTAGTCAACCTCCTTGCCGTGCATACTGAACAGAGAAGTTAAACAACCTGGCTAATGTCCCAAAGTAAGGCCCACCCAATCCTCACATGGCCAAGCAAAGTGTAGTCATATAATGCTCATAGACACAGGACATCAGGCTTGGGCCTGTGGAGCTGGTCCTGAAAGCAATCCCATATGCATCCCTAGATAAATGAGCAGCTGTTGTTTGAGGAACCCCTATTTCCATAGTGAGAGCTCCTTGTCAGGATAAGATGCTGCAGTGCTGCAAGTCACCAGCAGAGGGCACCACAGGCAGCACTCCCATCTGAGATCCTTCAGCTCTTACTACTGCACACTAGTTTTGTTCATTAGAACATGATGGGGAAATTACACAACCCAAAGGAGGAAACAGAGGACCAGAGAGAAGTGGCAAGATGCTCCAAGATGGATGCCAAGGAAACCATATCACAGAAATCCAGCTGGGGAGACTCCAGGCAGTAAACAGTGTTAGGGTCAGGCATGGACTTAGTGTCAATCACTACCTTTGGCCTTGGTGTCTGTTTAATCACACTGTTGTGAGGACAGGATGCAGTCACGCATGCAAAACACTTCAAACAGAGCCTAACATCTCAGTGAGAGTCCTTTACTGATGTAAAGGCACAAAGGAGTCAAGTATTTTGTCCAAGGCCACACAGCTATGGCCAGGAATATAACTCAGGATCAGAGTGCTTGTCTAGCATGCACAAGGCCCTGGGCTCAATTCCAAAGCAAGCAGTGAGGGCGAGGGGAGGGGAGAATATTGAGGTATGATCTACGACCAAGGGCACTGTATTAGTTACTTTTCTATTGCTATGATAAAACACCATGAATGAGAAAACTTATAAATGAGTTTATTTGGACTTGTGGCTCCAGAGAGATAAAGGCCCATGATGGCAAAGTAGAGGTATGGTGGCTGGAATGGGAAACTGAGAACTTACATTTTCAATGTCAAGCATGAAGCAGAGAGCAAACTGGGAATGGCATAAGGCTTTGAGACTTCAAAGCCTGCCCCAGTGACACACTTCCTCCATCCAGCCACACCTCCTAAACCTGCCCAAACAGTGTCACTGACGGAATATCAAACATGTAAACCTATGGGAGATGTATCAAACCACCACAGATGCACAGTTGAGACGGTAAGGGAGAGCCTCATGCAGGCAGACTGCTTCCAAAGCTGTGCTTTTACCAGCACGTCACCGTCCATTAAGAAGAGCATAACCCCATCACTTGGGAGGCAGAGGCAAGTGGTTATCTGTGAGTTCAAGGCCAGTCTGGCCTACATAATGAGTTCCAGGACAGTCAGGGGTACACAGTAAGACCCTGTCTCCCAAACAATAAACAAGCAAACAGATAAATAAAAAGTGACAGCCACATGATCAGGCCAAATCACATGACCGCTCCCAACAGACCTCACTCATCTCATACCTCATTCACAGGGACCCACGGCACAGGACAGATGACTAGCCCAAGGTCATTCTGCTAGTACTTGTGCCCTCCCCTTTCCATAGCTGGGGCCCTGTGAAGTGGGGACCTGTCCCAAGAGCAGATGCACAGGACAGCTGGGCTGCTGGGATGGTAAGCCAGGCTCTCTGGCACATCCCTGCCTCCACTCACTCCACGGGTACTTACAGATGCCACTGTTGGGGCCCTGGAGATGCGAGCGCCCAGCCACTGCCTGTTCTTGGCGGCTCCCTGTTGTATAGGGACCAAGCAGAGCAGAGCAGGGGCTCCACTGTTTGTTCCATGCCATGAGCAGGTCCCACACTCTACCTCAGGTTCCTTATCTGTCGGAAGATATTTTTGTAAGGACTCAAAAGTGGTAGTATAGCTTTTAGGACAGAGTGTGGCACCCGGTAAGTGCTCTGCAAACAGCTCAGTAGCTACAAGGGAGCTTTGACAAGGGAGGACCCAGCCCTTGTCAAAAATGACAGACTGGCTCCTGGCATGGGCAATCCTGGCCTTCCAGACTGAAAGCAGATGGGAGGGGAGATGAGTGGTCCCAGTCTATCACCCCTACCTCTTGAATTAAAGGAAGTCATCACCACCGTTCCCCCTTGCTTCTGACCGCAGAGTGCCTCACTCTTGGGTCACCCACCCTGATTCCCCAGTCAGTTCTGTATGCAGAGGGTCCTGTGCACGCTACACACAGGACAGAGGAAAACAGACACAGACTAGCAGTGTTGAAAGGTAATCTGTCCAGTTTCCAACCTGGGACCATCTCAAATTCCAGAAAAGGCAGAAGCCTGGAGGATGGTCAGCCAGACCGTTTAAGGGAAAAGAAGCAGGCCACAGTGCCCAGCCTGCCAGACATTGCTGGAACCGTGCTCACAAAGCCCTCCTCCAGCTGCTCCTTCATGGGGGAAGCCATGGGCAGAGGGGCGGTACAGGTCCCAGAGGTCAGAAGGAGAGGGGCAAATGAGAATGGCACTCCTCAGCTGTGGAATCAGGGACAGGACCTAACCTCTATTGTTCTCTGGAATCAAAGGACAATGGCAACACTTGGTAATTAAGTGCTGGATTATAAGTTTGCTCAATGTCTGCCAGGAATTCTCTGAGGAGCCCAGCCCCCAGGGTCTCCAGAGAAAGGATTAAGTTCAGAAGAGGCCATGGGAGTCAGAGACAAATGGTATGGCCCCTTTGCTCCAGAAGCCCCTACATAGTCCCCTGAGAGAGCCCGGCCTGCCCACACAGCAGTCACTCAAACACATGGCAGACAGGATTTCTGGTTCAAACTCCAATAGAACAGGTGGAGAGTGAGTGTGTGTGTGTGTGTTTCTGTCTGTCTGTCCCCCACACACACCAGGGACTCAGGGAGACTTCTAAAGTAATACTAGGAGCTTCCTCTCCTGTTGTAGTTGCTACACGCCTCACTCTTGACTCTGTTAAGTCCTCCAGAACCTGGAGTAAGCAGGTCAAGTTGGGCTCTGATTGCTTTATGCAACATTCACTTATCACACACCTGCTGTGTGCCAGGCAGGGTGGAGTCCACAGACCCAAACATCCAGAACTCTAGTGCATGTAGTGGGATAGGCAAATAATCTTCATGGAAGCCACTTTTCAAGCCAAAAAAAAAAAGTATAATTATAACGCTAGCATTTATATAGTAATTATTGTGCACTGTCAGTTTCTTCACTGTGAAATAGGAACTATAATATTTTCTATGGTGATTAAGTGAGTTAGCCTTTATAAAGCATGAAGTCCAGGCTGACATACAGTAAGTGCTTAATACTTAAAGTTTATCACCCATCACATCATATTGGGTTCTGTCAAAGACCTAGAGTTGGGTGTTTAATTACAAGCGCCATTCGAAGCAAGCATTTTTAAAGATGGGGACTCGCTGTGTTGCCCAGACTGTCCTCAGATGATCCTCCTGCCTCAGGCACCCCATAAGCTCCATTTTACAGATAAGAAATATGATGAAAACAAAGCCTGTTTGGTAATATCGAATGAATGCCTTTAATCCCAACACTCGGGAGGCAGAGACAGGAGGATCTCTGTGCGTTCGATGACAGCTTAATTAACTACATAGCAAGTTCCAGGCCAGCCGAGGTTACATAGTCTCCAAACAAAAAAATTAAAAGAAAAAGAAAAAGTAGGAAGGAAGGAAGGAAGGAAGGAAGAAAGGAAGAAAGGAAGGAAAAAAAAAAGGTTGAGATTCGGGCAGGTTCCAGAGGTGGAAAGGCAAAATATTCTGGGGTGGGGTGGGGTGAGAGCATCTTTGGACCGCAGAGCTTCTGCGCACTCAGATTTCTTGCTGCCCTGTGCCTCAGTCCTCTCCACCTACAGAGACTGAAAGGCTCCTTCCAGCGCGCTGGTGTGCACACTTGTGACATCACAGGACAAGTGGGCAGAACCGAGCCAACCTCCGCACCAACAGAGGTCCGTCCGTTCAAGGAGGCCCGGGTGGGCAGACTGCACAGGTGCCGCCACCGGGCGGGCTGGCTGGGCGCACATCGGTGCAAGGCGGCCTGCCAGGGAACCTCCACCCCACCACCACCGCGTCCTCACGACCCTCCTTGTCACCCGCAGGTTACGTGCCGCATTGCCTGCCCCCCAGCGGTTACGATGGCGAGCAGAAGCCTGGGCTGGAGATGGCGCCCGCCGAGCCCGCATACCCGGCCGCGGCGTCGGAGGAGTACAGCGACCCTGAGAGTCCGCAGTCCAGCCTGTCGGCGCGCTACTTCCGCGGGGAGGCGGCCGTGACCGACAGTTACTCCATGGACGCCTTCTTCATCTCCGACGGGCGCTCCCGGAGGCGCCGGGCCGGGGCTAGCGGGGACGCGGCAAGCGCGGGCGACGCAGGCGGCAGCGGGGAGCGCGCGGGTCGCTCAGGGGCGACAGCGGGCGGCGGGCATCGGCACGCATGCGCAGAGTGCGGCAAGACGTACGCCACGTCGTCGAACCTGAGCCGCCACAAGCAGACGCACCGCAGCCTGGACAGCCAGCTGGCGCGCAAGTGCCCGACGTGCGGCAAGGCCTACGTGTCCATGCCCGCGCTCGCCATGCACGTGCTCACGCACAACCTGCGCCACAAGTGCGGCGTGTGCGGCAAGGCCTTCTCCCGACCCTGGCTGCTGCAGGGCCACATGCGTTCGCACACCGGCGAGAAGCCCTTCGGCTGCGCGCACTGCGGCAAGGCCTTCGCCGACCGCTCCAACCTGCGCGCGCACATGCAGACGCACTCGGCCTTCAAGCACTACCGCTGCCGCCAGTGCGACAAGAGCTTCGCTCTCAAGTCCTACCTCCACAAGCACTGCGAGGCCGCCTGCGTGAAGGCTGCCGAGCCGCCTCCCCCCGCCGGCACGGCCAGCTGAGCCTCCGCCTCGCGGGGTGCCTGCAGAGGCTTCTCCCACCCCTCAGTCTGCGTCTCCCCTGCCTGCGCCCCTGGCGAGGTGGGGGTGAACCCCATCTTGGCCCAGAACTTTCTTTTCAACCCCGACCAAGCCCACCATTCAACTTCCTGCACCAGGTCCCCCTTTTGCACCCACCCACATTGTCCATCCTGGCCACCACTCGGACCTTGACCCCATGTCTGGCCTTCAAGGCTCCCAACTCAGGCACCAGGTCCGTACCTCTTCGGGTCCCGGCGCTGGAAGTTTCTCCGGCCCCGACTCTAGGCTGTGCTCCTTACTAGATCTTTCTTCTCATTTCTCAGCTGAGTCATTGGCCATTCCTCTATTGGAGCTCTCATTCTAAATCCGAATGTACCCTTGACATCCTGTCTGCCTCAGTTTCCCTGTCACACAGTCCAATCCCTTGGGTCTCTGCCGAGTTTCCGTGTGTGTGTGTGTGTGTGTGTGTGTGTGTGTGTGTGTGTGTGTGTGTGTGCATCCAGGACTCTAATCTTCAAATCTTCACTCCTCCTGAAGTCTCCTGCCTGTCTATCCCTGATCCGCTCCATTCTTGGGCCTTAGGTCCAGCCATTCACACGATCCTACCTGATTTTTCCACCCTCTTCAGTCTTCCTGGTTCCTATCAGCATCTGACTCCCTGCTCTCTCCTGCTCCTTCCCACTAGTAGCTCTCCATTCCTCAGTTTTCCCGGCTGGGAAAAGACTTGGGAGGCAGCCCAGGGCTCTGCCCTCTCAGTGACCCTTCTTACCCAGGACAGTTCCTGCCTAGGCCTCAGGCCTGGAGCTGCGCCTTTCCCAGGTTATCTGAGCACTTTCCCTCACCCCTGGACTACAAATTCACCTCTGCACCTCACCCATGGACCCAACCCCTCCTCTGGCAGGGCCCCTTCAGCTATTTATTTGTGTATTTATTTATTTATTTATTTATTTATTATTCTATTTAATCTCTTGGCTTCGCCCAGGGACTGTCTGGCTTCCCCAGCTGGACTGGGAAGTCAAGGAGCAGGGTCTGGGGCGAAGCCCACCCTTATCAGAGCCTGAACTCCTTAGAAAGAGGCCTGGAGAAATGGGGGAGGCAGAGCCTGCTGATCCTCAGCTGGCAGGGGAAGGGCCATCCGAAGGTCCTATTTCGGGGCAGGTCCCCGGTCTCCTGAGCCTTCCACTTCTGTCCCAGGACGCCCTCTAGAGCCTCCTCCTTTGTTTCTTATTTATTCCTCTTTCAGAGGGACCCCAGGTTCCAGGGACCGACTGAGCCCCGGACCCCGCTGGGGCCTCTGGCCTGCTCCCGGGAGGAGTGCTCTCTCCCGGCCACGACTATGCAACTCTCCCGGGCAGAGGGGCCGGGACTGCCAGCCAGGCGCCTATTGGCCACCACTACCTCCTCCACCGCGCTTTTGCATGCCCGGGCGAGGACCGAAGCACACACCTCCGCGCGCACCGGCCCGGCCCCCTCTGCTTTAAGCACACGCCTAAGCCCGCATCCCTCTGTGTCCCCCTTGTGGATAAGCGTCCTGGACACTCAGACCTCCTCCCCTCCCCGTAGCCACAAAAGAGGGAGGAGACTGCAGAACGCTCCAGGCCACTCTCTGGGGCTTCCGAGGGGGTGGAGCTTCATTCTGTCCCAGGCTCCCAGAAAGGAGGCTGTGGAGATGGTGGAAGAGAGAGGGGTCACCAGAAGCAATTATGGAGGGTGCTGACCCTGTAAATAGGAACTTCTGACAGCAATAATTTCCCATGCATGCTAAGCCTTTGGCTCCTCCCTTGCCGTACCCCAACTCATCCCCCACCCCTATTCCTTCCCGATCTTCAGCAGTATTACTTGTAACGCAATTCAGGGATATTAAAGGGACTTTGGCCACTCACTAGCGCCTCCAGACCTTTGACGGGACCGGTGTTTAGACCCTCCCCCTAGTACCTATAGATTTTCCCTCCACACACCTTGGGAGGGGTGGTTGGGAGTGGAACGGTGTGCTAAGGCTCACTATGACCCCGGTTACGGGACAACCTACCCCCAGTACACACAGTCTCCAGTGTGGTCTGAGGAGCGCAGGCAGCGGTGAAGTTCATTATCCTCCCTCCTACAGCCTCCATGACTATACACTCTGCTGGCCTGCTCTGATACCCAGTCTGGAACAGCCTCCATGCTGGGCTAGGGGTTTATACTCTAGTTATGAGGCAGAAGGCAGTTAATGCAAAGAATTGGCTGCTGAAAAGATACACAGGAAAAGGAGGGAGTCCTCAGCTGGGCCCCAGAACTCCATCACAGAACCTTCACCAGGGCAGCTACTTCTTCCACAGTTAACAGGTGGCGGTGAGCTACACAGAAAAACCCTGTTTTCACACCCCCCCCCAAAAAAAGAGGTTGTGGTGGTGGTGAAGAGCCTACATTGAGGCTATAGAAGGTGAATCTCTTGTGAGTTCAACCCAGTCTAGCCTGGTCTACATAGTAAGTGAGCTCCAGGCCCACATAGTGGGAATTTGTCAAAAACAAGACAGCACCATAAGTACGGTCCAGGGATGGAAGGCCACCACCACTGCCTTGATAGCTCCATCTCTGATATGCTGGTAGCGTGTTCTGTAATGCCACTACAGAGCTCAGCCCCTCCAAGGCCATCTTAAAAGCAACAAGAGTCAAAGGTCATAAGAAAGTGGTCTCTGCCCACTTCTGGCATCCAGGTCCCAGGCAAGTGCACTGCACTGGCAGAATTTAGTTTATCATCATCACTGTTGCTGTCTGAGAGAAGTGGCTTTAACTTCTCAGCCCCACACTAGAGCCAGCGCTCTAAGGGAGGTAGGAATGGATGCTGGTGTCCATCTGGCTTCTCAGCCCCATTACAGTGGTCCAGCATCCACTCCATCCTTTCCTCCTTAATTAGCAGCTTGAGGGATATCTGTAGCAGGCTCTCTTTTGGGCCACCAACCAGTTCCCAAACCATGACATGGAGATCTACTATTAGTTTTGAATGCTTGGCCTTAGCTTAGCTCTTACTTTAATTTGTTTCTCTTTGTCTACCTTTTACCTTGGAACTTTCTATCTCTCTGTTTCTTTCCTGATGTCTCCATGTCTGGCTGGCATCTACCTGGCTTCTGGCCCCAGGCATGTCCTCTATTTCTCCCTCATTCTTTGCTCCTTCTCTTTTGCCTAGATTTCTCCTCCTACTTATTCTCTCTGCCCACCAGCCCCACCTATCCCTCTCCTGCCTAGCTATTGGGCATTCATCCTTCTATTTGATCAATCAGGTGCCTTAGGCAGGCAAGGTGAAACAAATGTAACACATCTTTACACAATTAAACACACATTCTTACATCTTAAAACAAATGCTGCATAAACATTTACTTTACACAGCTAAAGTAATATCCCACAGCATAAACAAATGTAACATATCTTCACATAACTAAAGTAATTACCACAACAAATATCTTGGTAGAAAGTAGTACCATCACCCAGGAGGATAAGAAATGAATATACAAACCAATTCTGGTCAATGAGATTTAAGGAGAGGGAGTTGGAACTTTGCGGGATTCTTCACTACCTTCCCCAACTTAGAAGATACAGCCAGTCTTTCTCCTCCTTACACGTGAGCAGAGGATCATGTGTGGCTGTGAAGGGAAACAGCATTTGCATGTAGCCCATGCCATAAGTAGCAAAGCAAAGACAGAAAAAGCCTCTGTCCTTGAGGATGCTGAAAACTGACAAAAACGTCATTCTGAAACTTCATAGTTTCAGTTGAATAGGATCTTTACCTGAAGACCAAGGCCCCTGACTGACATATGGATATAGTCTTCTTGTCATCATTCCCCCAGAGGCCTTCAAGACTGATGCCACTGGTTCTCTATTGCCTACCCAGCAATTTTACTGACACATGTAACAACCTAATGAAGGAGTCCAAGTGCTGTTCCTAGTCACTGACCCTGTATCTTAAATTCCATCCACATATAAGTGGCTTCCAACTTATGGTTTGAGTTCCCACCTCCTCTCTGAACTACAAGTCCATATCAACCAGCAGGATTTCCCCACTTGATATATCCAAAGCACCAGAGACCAGCTGGAGTCTAAAGCCAGGACTCAGTTCCCCTCCATAGCTTCCTGCTTCTATAAGCGGGTGTCCCACCCATCTAGCTGCAGACACAAAGTCCAGAAGGTGCTTTCCCATTCACCTCTACCCTACTGCCCAGTCCATCACCAGCTCCTGAGCCCTCCATCTTCTCAGTCTCCGCCTTAGTTGATAACCACCATCATCTCCTAACCGGGTTTCTGGACCAGCCTCTCATTGGTCTCCTGAGATCCACTGTGCCTCCTCAACACAGCAGCCTTGGAAATGTTTCCCAAAGTGCAGGTTTCCTATCTACCTAGCTTTATTTTGGCAATAAACTACACAGCTGTTTATTCCCCAAGATGGGCATGGTAGCTGATGCTGGTAATCCCAACACTTGGGAGGCTGAAGTAGGAGGACCATCTGAAATTCAAGGCTAGCCTAGGCTATAGTGAGTTCTAAGTCACCCCAACCAATATAGTAAGTGCATGGCAGCACGTGCCTGTAACCCCAGTGCTGGTGTATGTGGAGGAGGTAAGGCAGGGGCTCACTGCTCAGCCAGTCTACCCAAAATGGCTACACACTAAGTGAGGCGGTCTCAAAGCAGTAAGGTGAAGCAGACATTAGCCTCCGGCCTCCACACATAGACTCACAGGCAAGCCCAACTGCTCACATGTGATTTTGAAGGTCTAGAAGGCCTACATTGAAGTTCCATAGAATTCCATGTCTGGTGTGGCTGTGCTTCCTGCTGCACAGATGGCATCCTCTGCCTCAGACACATGACACAGGCACAGCAGAGCTTTCCAGGGACTTTGTGTGCACACACAAGCATATGAGCATGAGCAAGAGCATCAAGGATGGAGCCCATGCTTGCCTTACAAATACGCTCTGCCGGCAGCTTCAGGAGTCTCTCACAAAGGCACCGATCCCACTGGGGAGGGCTCTGTTCTCACCATCCAATCCTCTCCTAAAGGTATCACCTCCTAAAACCGTGTGTTTGCGAGTAAGGTTCCAACACATGAATATGGGAGGAACAAAAACATGACCCCTCTGGGGACAGCACTCTGCCTCTGCCTCTCAATTCCCACCACTGTGGAGAGATCAAGCTGCTGTGGAACACCTAGTCCACCTGCCCCTGCCTCCTCTGTGCTGTCAGTCTTAGATGTGTTTTCTATCCCAACAGTAACCAAAGTTTCCACTCCTTCCACCTCCAAGTCTCACCTTTACATCAACCAACCCAGATGCTGGCAAAACACCAGAAGCAGTTCATCCTCCAGCTGTGAGTCTGTAAGATCCAGTGAGTCCCATGCTTCCAAAATGCAGTGGTGGGCAAGATAGAGGCCAGACATCCCCATTCCAAACGGGAGACTAG